TAAGATTGCTCCCACGGTAAAGGACTCGAAGATTATGCGTTATTAGCCACTGTCAGGGCTCGTGGGAAAATTAAATGAAATACTCGTAGCTAGTCCTTTATCTGTCTTTATCATTGTGAATAATGTTATTTTCAATACAACGCTCAGCTTTCATACATTGATATAAGTTCAAGCTGTTTATGGTACTCTACGCAATTACACAATGTTCTGAAATGCTGATGTTTTTCACAATTTTTGTTTATGTATTTAGTATTACTTATCCTCTCGACGTAATATGAGTAGATGTACTTGATTGTTTTTTTTTTTTAAAGATGACCTCTGAAAAATACTAATAATGCTTAAATAATTATGATTTATGTTGAGGAATTTTCATTTTAATTCAAAATAATTTTATTAGATATTACTCTATTTTAAAATTTTAATAGAATTAGAATAAAATTTTACGTTAACCCACAGTTTATTTAAAAATTGTTATTTTTTAAGGAGGTTAATTTCCTTTAGCATTATATCAGTCGAATAATATTAGATACTTATACCAGTACAGTGTTCTCAGTGAGGATTTAAGCAAGCTAAAGCTATATAATTACCATATGTTATCTATTTAATAAATAATTAGTTTCTATAAATGTATAGAATATGTACCTTACATAGGTGTCGGTACCTATTCTATACATTTGAACATTTTTTTAACTCAACTATCGTTTAATGGATACTTATTGTAGTCTCTGATTGAAGATAACGAAATCCGATCAATCATGCATTTAGTGTTATGTCATCGTGGTATTATTCTATCTTAAAAGTTTTTATAGTGTTGTTTTGTAATTATAATATACTAAAACGTGTAGCTTGATAGTCCAAATTCAAACACATACACACTCTCACATCTATACAAACTAAATAAAATGTGTTAGAGTGAATGAGTATTTTTTTTTTACTCTTTAATCTCTGGAACTAACAGCGAATACTATTAATTCTTGTACCAGCTGTATAAAGAAAAATTTCCGTCTGTTACCTACAAGTTTTCATGAAAAAGAAACGACCCTTGGAAACGGCGGAAACGGAGATAGACACAGGCATATCAGATTTTGTATTAATATAATTTTTATTTAATTTATTTTGCTTAGTATTTGACAAAACAGAGATTGCTGAATTGTGTGTGATCTACATAAAAGACAATTTCAAACATTTTTTTTTATGAAATAAAGATATTTTGAGTTTAAACAAAAATAAAATAAAAATCCACCGAATTTTAAGATTAAATTTTGCAGATAAGGTTTTTATATGATAAAATTAAGTAGTATACAAAAACTAGATCAAATATCGTTACTATAATAATAGGTATAACGACAATCATTCACAACAGCTTTGAAAAAATTCACTACCTGGGACAAAATATTATTTATGACATTGATTTAATGATTCTGCCTCAAATTTAATGTTAAATGTGTTTCTGTTTTAGTTCAATCTGTCAGACGAGAGCAAATTCGATCACTTTTGTGTCACGGCATCGGCAGCAGAGCATTCGACTGTGGCTTCAGGGATCTCTGGTGCGATTCCGTCTCTCATTAACTGTATTTATACAAGTATAGTTGTATAAATACAGTTAGATCCGATTTATTTAATTAAAGTTTCAAAGTCCCAAAACATTATTATTGTTACTTTTGTGAGACTATTTACTTCATTTTACACTATTTGTGATAAATATTTTAACATTATTTAAACATAATAAAATAATTGTATCAGAAATAGTATCAGTTTGTCAGTAAGTTAAAAATCTAATCGACTATTGACGAATTCGTAGAAATGAGACTGTTTATGTTTCTACTAGCAAAACTTTTTACAATAAAACAAAGTGGTTGTCACTTGATGAGGTCATGGTTGTACGTTTCGCCAGATCCATTGTGTAGCTTCCTGCCATTGAGAGCGTTTTACTCCGACTGGGAGTTGCGAGATTTGTCATTTTTTACTTATATCACTACAACATAGAAGATTAAATTTAAAAGAACGTAGACCTATTTTGCTTGCCCTTAGAGATACACTGGTGGAGGAGGCTTTTGTCAAGTGTCGTCTGTATTACCTCGAAAAAAAAGAAATAGCTTAGCTTAATGACCATGCACGTTACGGACGTATATATCACTTGGTGGAAATTTATTCTTGTTTCTTTTGACGTCATCTACATTACAGGCGATTTTCCTTGTTTTCATTACGACCTTGCCATTTTCCGATGACTAGCAGAAGTAGAAGATGTTTATGATCAATATTTAAATTGGACTAGGTTTTTTTATACTAGTAAACAACATCTTTAAGACCAATATGACCCGCAGGCAGTTATAAATTTCAGTTTAGTGATTATTACGTTAATAGTTTTTAACTAAATAGAACTATAAACAGGTTTTTTAACTACTATAATTGAGCAATTATAAAAATGTGGGAAGGCAGAGGATTGACGACTAAAATAAACATAAAAAATTATGTGTGTAGGTATAAGCGTAACGTAGAGGATTATTTTTATGTAAATGAGTTCCCAATAAGTATATTTTTATAAACCCTTTCAGCACCAGTAATCAAGATTTGATAGAATTTACTTTAAACTAACGTGGCTTCTTCCTCCTCTGAGCCTTTTTCCCAAACTAGGAACTTACAGCCGACTTACAGGAGACTTACAGCCGACCCCAAGTCGGCTGTAAGTCTCCTTATACTACGATTTTTTACACGGAGAGACTGCCATCAGATCTTCACAACTCAAGTGCTAGGCGATATCGAAGTTCTGTGGAAAGAAAGTTGTCGGACTATAAAACTAACGTGATTAACTTTAAAAAACCAAAACAGTGTTTTTAGAAACGTGTCCTACATAATTTTATGTGTTGTTTGACGTTGGTTGTTTCTTTTTTTCAATGACATTACATAATATGTTCACTTTAATACTTTAAAACCAAAAAAGCTATGTGCTACTCGAACCTGGAAAGTCCTCCTTCCTAATTAATATTTAATGCAAATGCAATTTTAAGCATTATGGTATAGTATCTATGTCTACTATAGTGCATCATCCTTATTTTACAAGATATGTAACAATATTTTTTTATGTACCTACCATCTTTCTCCCATTTGTACCTACTATTGTATATCACTTTAGTGTTTTAAAATTTAATAAAAGGCACCTCCCCTTTTATTACATTTGGTGTGATCAACTAAAATATATTTGGCTTGAAACTAATTTGATTGTTATTTTGTATGCTTTTAAAAATAGTTTGTTATTGAATGCTCACAACATAAAAAGTGTCAAATGGCGATTTCAATATTGTGGGTAGGTCCTAAAATAAAACGGTCGGGGTCCTCCCAGAGTAGGCCACCTGAGGCCGGTCGTCGGGGTGGTTTTTAGTGGAATCATCATATACTCCTGAGTCCCAGAGGAGAAGGAGATCCGAATGGAATTTCCATCCCGTCAACAAAAAAAAACAGGCCCAATGGTTTAGGTGCTGCGTTGATTAATCAATTAATGTTATAATGTTATACCTATGTATGGATATCACTATCCGTGTGGTGACGGATTAATAATACGGAATGTCACCACCCCTATTCATCCCGTGGGTGTCGCAAGAGCCGAGTAAGGGAGCAAACTAAGCAGGATAACAGCACTGCAAAGAGAAGGAAATCCCTATACCAACCCGTCTGCCTAGCGTGGTATAGTAGGACAAAACCTCCTTTCTAAGGAGAGGCCTATGTCCAGCAGTGGAATATTATAGGCTGTTGATGATGGATATATGAAATATAGCATATTTCGAGTCTAATCGCCTTTTGTATCTAACTATAATAGTAATAGTATTTTGTTACCTAAACCACAAAAGATGTTATTATACGAGTACATTGTCGGTGACCCCGCAAAATGCATGCCTGTCCTGTGATTGCCGATTGCGATAACACTGGCCCTTTCTACTTCACAGATATATACATACTTTTCTATTTCATTAAAAATCTGATACATTAATCGGTATAAATGGCGTCTAACTGAAAATTGTGTAAATTGACAACAAGGAAGTTTTTGCTGTCTGATTTGCTAATGGTTTACAGTCTTGTTATCATGCAGTATTTTGATATGCAGCGTACTTACATACACATTTCGAAATACATATATACATATTATAGATAAATTACATCTAAATAGAACAAATGACCATTCTCACACAATTATTTGATCAGGGTGGAAATCGAACCCACGACCTCTGGCTTTAGCAGTTAGGTTCTCTAACTACTAAACCCACAGCCCTATTCATTGGCAAGTTTAATTATAAGTTAATTAGTTAACAAATTATGATCTTATGATAGTGATATATAAAGTATTCGATACGATGTTAGTTAATAGTGTTTTGTAGTTCAATCGTTTTTTTTAAGTAATAGTCTTTAAATCTTGTATCTACAATAATATCAATTATATATGTTTTTGGTAAATATATCAATATATCACTTGCTGTAAACACATCCAGATAATACCGGACCGATTTAAATGAACCAGCAAAAAACATATCACAAGGTTTATTGACAGTCACAAAATGCGTGTGGTTAATTGTACTGAATTGAATTTGAATAGCGGTCATATAACTCTTCTTAGTTAGTTATTTCAAGTAACAAGTTCTTAACTCAAACATACTGGTAGAAGTCAAGTCAAAGACATAATCACGACGGCACTTCCTTGTTGTCTTTGAATATCTGAAATTCAGTGGAAATGGCCTGGTGTTACCTTTTATATTATGAGAGTGATCGAGAAAACTGATTCAAATTATTTTAACTTGAATTGACGGATACAATATACAGACGATATACAATAGTTAACCGATGCGAACGCTAGGTGCTTCAATTCCTGTACCTAGAGACCAAGGGAGTTAGGCGATTTCTTCCCCTTCCTCCCTCAGTATATATTATTATTACAATAAATGATAGTACGGATAATAATAAAACACCTTTTTAATAATAATTATGATAACATAAATACGATTTGATCAGTTTCAGTCGAGGGAAGCGTATTTCTTCAGTCTCGTGTTAAAACCTGAAGATTCCATTGCCATCCGCTGTCGAGCTGTGCAATAAGCTGAAATAATAATATAAATTATGTTATAGTTAAATATGATAGTTATCCGATATGTAAGCCCAAACTAAGCATAACTTTTAAGAATGAAATATAAAATCTAACTACAACAGGGATAAATATTCTTAGGTATTTTCTGTAAATTTATACACAACTTTTCTTAATTTACAGATATATTATAAAAGTTAAAACAATCAGCTTTCTTTCTCTATATATACTATTGTTAGAAATAAGCTTTTACTTTGAGCATTTGAACTTAAGTGGTTTGACTTGCAAAAAAGTAAAATATAAAAATTCAACCTAAATTTATTCTGAAGAATCAACTTGGTTTAACTCATTATAATTCAAAACACAACGACTAATAGATATATTCAAGCATACTAATACTTTCAGTGAGGGGGGATCAAACTTATCAACCTCTGAATTTCACACACAATCTTCTGATTTTTTCAAAAATCTTAAGCCTGGAGGACACTTACGGACTGTACTAGGTTCCCAACCCACGAACTCTCCATTCCTTTCATTCTCTGCCTTCAACCAGTCATGAAGAGGTTTAAAGTAACCCAAAACACCGCTCGCGTCCATTTTCCTTGTACCAGTCAATACTTCCATTGCATCAGGCCAGGGTTTTGATGACCCCAGTGACAGCATATTACTGAAATAAAGGCAAGAATAGAATTAAAGAAAAGTGGAGTCAGATTAATCTGCAAAAATTTTTTTTTCGCATATTTATTATTTCCTTATTTTCCTATTTGTTCAATGGGAGTATTGATAAGAATGAGATAGTTATCAAATTTATAAGTGTTGTTTGTTGTCTTCCATTTTATTAAATGCAGGAATAAGCAACAAGCAAACTCATATTACAATAATTGTAAAGTACTTTAAATATATAACACTAGCTGACCCGGCAAACGTTGTTTTGCCATATACATTATTTCTAGGAAATATTGAAAAAAAAATTAGGGGTGGGTCGGGTCACCCTTATCATTTAGGGGTATGAAAAATAGATGTTGGCCGATTCTCAGACCTACCCGATGTGCACACCAAATTTCATAATAATCGGTCCAGCCGTTTCGGAGGAGTATGGTAACTAACATTGTTACACGCGAATTTTATATATAAGATAATATAATGTGCATATACCCCGCCGAATGGTAAGCAGTTTCTTAATTCTATATACATGCATTAACTTAAATAAAGCTGTAGTGTCCATCATATATTGGCACTCCTTCGACTATGCAATGGCTATGCTGACACGACCCCAACATTTACGAATAAGCTATGCTGTATTTACTTAAACCGCCATTTCATAAAAGTGATTCCTCAATCAGCATCTTAATAGAGCAGAATTTTTAGAATTAAACAATTAAAGCCATTTAACTTGCTGATGAAGTGTCAGGCTTTCTAAAAATCTATAAAATAAATGAAAATAATATAAACACGTACCTCAACGCCTGTCCAGCCTCAAGACTCTGGTAGATGTCACAGTTGGACAACAATTGTGAAGAATCATCACTATTGTATTCACCGGCAAGTTGACACAGAGCTTGGTGGAATTGGAATTGTATGATATACGAGATGTAGTACCTGACATGAAGCAAAACTGAATTAAATATTTCAAATTTTACATTCTTGGCACAATGACTAGTTCGAGATTTCTTAATTTTTTTTGTTCAAAACAGACAACTCCCGCACTAGGAATGTATCCTATGTTGTGGGGGCCTTTAGGGACATTTATAAAAGACCCAAGGAATACTCATACTCATAACAACTATTTGTGTTTGTTGAATAAAAAAGGGTTGTCGCATGAAGGGATCGAACCTACTACACACAGCGCAGCGAGGTGACCGTTTAAACCACGCAATTCGTGTAGTCAGTGTATTAATTTTTAATTGATTTTCGATGGCTGTTTACGTGAAAAACTTCCATTATAAACATGAGAATATAAGAACATGAGTAAACATCGCATATGTCATATTAATTTTGAATTTCTTCATACAGTTGTCATTCCAAAGGGTTAATACACTCACCTTGCATACTCAACATCAGCAGAAACATGGTACTTAGCAGCAGCATCAAAATCTTCTTCCGACCTTGGCGCTGGAGGCTCAATACCTTGAATAGTGTCTCTCAGCTGCCAGAAGTGGCAGTTATAGTCTTCATTTGTAGTCGTACCACGGAAAACACCATAGCGGAATAAGTCAAGGAGGTAGGCGAATGGTAAGAAAACAATCTTGTCAAGACCCTGAAATATATGTAACGATTTGTTTGTAAGTATTTGTCAATTTGACGGGCCTGTTGGTTTAGTGGTTAGTAATCCTAACTGCTCAGTGAGCACAACTAGTACAACTCAGAACAAGTAATTGTGTCATGAGCACGATCATTTATAAATTATTTAGATAATAATAACCTCACTGAATATCCTAATATTATATTTCCATCATTAATCATTAAAATTCAAAATTCATTCACACAGGGAATATTTTTCCAAACGAGCCTCAATAATTCTCGTGAAAAACCAACCACTGGTACAGAACCTACCCAAACAATTACTATAATTTGATATTTTAGTATTATTTGCGAACATTATTTTTTTTTAGTGTATAAATTTTTACCATTTTGTAAAGTTGATTAATATTTGATTCGGTGTCATCAGGTCCGTCTTGCAAAAGCCCCATCTTTCTTAAGTGTTTTGGTGTGGCAACGGATAGAGCTATGACGTCACCAACAGCTTCATGGAATCCTGAAATGAAATCCCATTAAGGTAAGTATTTTGGTTTTATCTAACACTCACTACTCACTTGTAATATGGTGTATCAAAAAAGGTCAGCACTCGATCATACGAAGTCCTAATACTTCTAGTCGAAAGTGGTATGCTTCGATCAACAATACAATTGTAGTGTTGATCGAAGTGGTATATAATTAATTATGTGTCCTATTTATATCGACCATTTTACAATGCACATAACAAAGCAAAACCGGTGTTTTCCCTAAATTTAAGGGCTAGTTAGGATACTATACAATTAACAGATTAATGAAAAATTTACAATACATAAACATAGAGATATTTTGTAGAAATAAAATCCTTGGCTGGTTGTGAATAGGTCGACAACGCACGTATTACATGGGTTAAGACCTTGGTTCTTGTATATTGTAACTACAAATGCCGAACATTGCGTAGACTTTTTTTATTTCGTAACTAATTTCATATGCACAATTTTATTTACATTATATTTTTCAAACTCACCTGGGTTTGCGCCAGATCTGTAAATAACGGGTTGATCTTTATATTGCAGGTAGTACTGGATGTGGCCCATTTCGTGATGCGTTGTCTTAAAGAAGGCATCTGTAATGACTGTACATTGTTTGATCCTGAAACAATAATTATTTTATGTGATACTAGCGATCTGCTCCGGCTCCCAATGTAGATACCACTAATACTGCTAATGTGGTGCCAGTGTAGAGTAATTAATTATACTATTATTATGATAGGACTATACTACAAGATATCTTTAAATGCAATATTTATAGGCCCGCTCCGATCCTGCCGGCCGCTGCCACCCGGGACGGACGTACGGCTCGACGGTCGTTGAGCCCCGCATTTTAAACCTCTAATATCTTTTAAAATATTTGTTTTAATGATAGGAAGGGAAGAGCAATTTTAATCTACATTAAATGACTAACATACGTAAAGTATTTAATTGAATAATAATAGCTTGTTTAAAAATAGCTTCGTAAATAACCCTTTTTTTGTATTATTTAAAAGATAAAAATGGTTACTGTGGGTTATCCTTATTAGATAGACATATATCATTGCGGACTTTTTTGTAGATATGTTTAAGATATACAATGCCGTAGTACATTACTTTGGTCTATCTCATAAGGATTAACCAGCGTTTGCAATATAAGAGGACAATAACATGTTTCTTACTATAATTCTTTGAAATTCTAGAATTTTCTCTACGATACTAAGCATGTATTATATACAACACAAAAAAGCGACTTTATTTTATACTATGTAAAGATACATAAATATACTCGTAGTTTAGTTGAGTATTTATTTGTAGAATCTGTCTTTATTTATTCGTAATCGAATTTAGTGCCAGTGTATTGCGCCAATTACACATTTGGGTCACATAACGAAGTGTGCACATGTCCCATAATATAGTGACCACTGCAGCACTGCATCTTACAGCTATCAATAAATTTGGCTTTCTATTGCCCACCTACCTAAAGTCTTCTCCGTCATAAAAGTCCCAAGCTGAAGCATGGCACACCAAGTCGCGTCCATCATCGGGCTTTTCGATGATCGAACGTTCCCAGAACAGGTCAGGCATAGGAATCAAACCTAGTGAAGTGAAGAACTCGTCAGCTACTTTAAACATCTGTAAAGCTGTATAGTTCTGTGAAAGAATTAAGTAAATTTGTTTTAAACTCAGACTCAATTTCACATATTATGTACCTTGATAAACCTAGAAATTTTATATTATTTATAAAGAATTTATAAAACAACATTAGCATACACATTTTGTGCTTTAGAGTTATTAAAACACAATTGTTATCGATCTGAATATTCCTGGACAAGCAATGTATCTGCCCTGTCATGTTATTTTTATTCGAGCCTCATGTAATAATCTGCTATTAGATTTATGACAATTCTAAGGATTTCTGACCGAAACTACTAATTGCAGGGACTTTATTACGACAAAAACTTGTGTTTTTGTAAGACTTGAAGACATTGTTGTCTTCAAGTCTTAACATTATCTAGTATGTAACTGATTAATCTTAAAATAGCCAGAACCAAAGAGAGCTAGCTCGTTAGATAAAACAACATATTAATTATACGCATTAATAATTATTCCGCCTTGATACTTCTGTGGCGCTACGGGAAGAGACAAACCTAAAGCGTTATTTATAAACGGATATTACGGATGTAAATAATGTGCAATAAAATAATTTCTATGTATATTTTTATTTACGCCACCCTCTTTACAACAAAAATCCATATCCATAATGATGAATTTATTTTAAATAATTTCATAAGGTTGCCTGGAAGAAAATGACTTAGGCATTAAGTGCGCCGAAGTACAAAAGCGCATAAAATTTAATAAAAAATAAATAATACCTGAGCAAGCAAGTTAGCCGTAACATCAACTTCTGGTTTATCGGGATATGGCCTACTGAATTTTTCTAAATTATTCCAGGTCTGTGCCCAGATGTTACCTGAAATAAAAGTTTAAAATTAATTTACATTTTTGAAATACCTGCATATTTTCTTTTTCATGAATAACGAAATAAAAAATAAAACTATGTAGTATAATGGCATGGGACAGTGACGAAGAGAAACAGGTCGTAATATTTCACCCTTACCTAATAAATGCGCAGGAATAGGTCCTCTTGCTGAGACTACATCCTCACCATACTTAATTCGCAGAAGCCTTCGCACATAAGCGTGTATTTGTTGGTACAGCGGTTTTATTTCAGCCCAAAGATCTGAAAATTGGCTTTCCGTATCTGGTTCCTCGTATTCGCCCAACCACCACTCAGCTACACTGTCATACCCTGAAAACGAAGATGATATGTAAATCTAGAAAACATCTGATAATAACACTGCTGGACATAGAAATCTTCTGGGAAAAGAGGTTTTAGTCTACTATACCACGCTGACCAGACTTAGATTACATTTGACATTATATTATCTTATGTGATGCTCTGAGTTAAAAACAATAACTCCAGGCATTTAGGTTTTTACTTGATACTTACACAAATCGCGATACTTGTTTAAATACCGATGAGAGATGGGAATCGGATTCTGGTTTTATTGTCAACGCCTATTAATCTGCAGAGAGTAGTTATGGCAAAACTATTTATAATATTGCTAATGACTTATATCGATAGTAGTAGATAGAGTTTATGTACATTTTTTTATTGAAATATAATAATAAATACCATTTAACTTAGCAGCTTCATTGTACATCGCCACGTACTCGGTAAAGTTGCCGCGAGACACTGCACCTGCAGCTTTATGCCATTCGAGCCAAGTATGCTTTAGTTCATCTGCATTGTTGCTTGTAGCGAAAATATTTGTCACTTCTAAAATAGCAAATAGATTATAAAAAAAATGACTTGCTTTAAAATTACTACAATAACCTTTGAAAAGGAAACAAGTCTCTGAATTTTAAATTTGATTTCAGAGATACGTACTTAGAAACTGAGATTGAATCGAATTATTGAACTGCGTGAGTTCTAACAACACAAAATCTGTCGGGTTTGATGTTACATCAAACGTTGAAAAAAAGAAATCTTTTTTTTTGCTGTTAAACAAAACTAAATTTGTCATATTATTCATCAAGAAAGATGTCAATACCCTATCCAATGGAGTAGGGTATTTACCGATGTTGCATTCAAAGTATATTTTCATATTAATTAGTAAAGTTGTTTGTGTTAAAAGTATCATTAATCAGCAAATGAGGTGCATTAGCACAAGGCGCCCATCATCACTTTGTATTCTAGGCGTTGATTATAGAAAAGCAAAATATTTCTGTGTCAATAAGATTGAATTCATCTTTAAAAATTTTGAGAATATCACCAGGTTCCACATAAGGGTGTTGATTTTTTTATTCAACAAAACTCGTAAATAAGCCTCTACGGCAAGTATTATTATGAGTATTATCATATAATGAGATTTGTCACGACTAATCAGATAACATTATCTCACCGGGCTCCACATGCAGATCACACTTAGTTTTATCGTTGTAATCGCAGATAGTGGCCTTCGCGTAGTTCGACTGCATGTTACTGACTGCCTGGAGCAATCTTTCATTCAAATCCTCGGGCAAAGCAGCCGTTCCCAGCTTCGAATACTTCTCAAACATTCTCTTTAAGTCAGGATCCTGGTACTCATGCCACAGATAGCTCATAGTATCCTTCCAATATTCTTTCTGTTCTTCTGCTACTTCTAGAGCAACTTGCAACTGAAAAAATAGTATGATTACAAATGAAAAGGAAGAACATATAATGCCAAAATGTACATACAATATTTTAAAAATACAGTTTATAATAAATTATTATTTTTTACTTCAAAAAATCTCACAGTTTAGAATAGGTAAGCAAGTAGACTTAAGACGAAGACTAAAAAAAAAAGAAAAAGATTTTAACGCTATGGAAAACGTCAAATATCGTCGGAGCATATAGCATAGCATATATATCTATATATATATCCGTTAGCTATATTATTGTATTTTCTTGACAAAAAACTCCATCATTAACGTGTTAGTACGTTTTTGCCACTAAACACTAACAGCAACAAACACTAAAGCTGAGTCAACGGAATTTATCACCAGTATTATAAAAGCTTTAGCTAATAAAATCATAGTTCTACCAATTGACGTATGTGCTTAAATAGGGTTTAATATAATATTAACTGAAAAAAAAATGAAAAGTTATTACATTCACATTCTCGTTATAGCTAGTGATATTGCTCTCGTAGTTCCAAGACGCTATGGCTCTCCTATTCCTTGCTTTAGACGTTTTGTCATCCAAAGCTCTCATATACTCCCTGCCGGCCGCTTCTTCTGCAGCTTGTTCAGCTGCCAACCCTTGAGCGGCTACAATGAAAACTGATGCGATAGCGCCCACTAGGGCGAGCTCTCCGATAATTTTCATTATCATCTGGAAATGGTTAATATTTATAACTTGTTACTTGCTTGCTATATTTGGCATATATTTAATTTACAATTATTGTAATGAGATGGACTACATGTTGTGAGGTTAGGTCTGTACTAGTCAACAAAATGGTAAAGTAAGTGCTCAATATTTATTCTAAATTACACCATGATTGCAAAGCTACTGTGGTTGATTGGTTTAACACTGTCAGTTATGACGATGTTGAGAAATGATTGGAAAAAGTAACCATAAACTTATTGCTTGTGTTGTGAGTGTGTGCTGTGTGTATGTACATAAATGCTTACAATACACACATGCTTAATAATATTACAACAATATTAATAAAAAAGAGTTCTAGAGACTTTTATTATAAAATTCTGAAGGATAAAAAATAGTTGACTTAAACGCCACTATATTATGACCACACTCCATTTCACGATCAGTTCATCGACAGACACATAATACCTACTGTCTCAAGCACAACATACGTTGAGTATTCTCTCGCAGAAATATACATACGTAGATTGTATAATAGCTAGATGTAGATAATATTTTGTATGCATATAATATTTATTGAAATACATTTAAATATAAAAAAAAAACAAAATGATGAAAGGGTGGAGAGGGTATGTGTGTACTATTTTGTATGTTTAAAACAGATTCACAGTAAGGATAATGTTTCCTAGCTAATTGAATAGATTTTATTGTACATTGCATGTTGTATTTTGACAAGTCATTTATTTGATACAAGAAATTTATTTATAGGTATATACTTTAGCATTAACGTACGGAGTTGCGGAGACTCCTGGCACAAGCATCTTACATGCTTAAAAGGAGTCTCCAACAGTAATTGTTGTGATCACACCTGTGTTATGGAATCAAGTTATTATTTAAAAAAAAAGGTTCTGATTTGGGGACACTTTTCTTGTCAGTCTGTAGCTAAAGCTCGGGTATACTGCTTGTAACGTGTGTTGTACACGTTTAAAGCAGTAAGCAGTAAAACTATTATCATATGATTGTAATAAAATACAATTGACCTATTTTATTACTTCATTTAAAACTATAGGTACTTGCTTTTAAATGTGGTGTATATTCCTCAGTTCAAACTATTTGCTTGCTTCTATTCAAATCAAGTTCATCTATAGATAGATAGATAATAAATACTTTACTTGTACACCAGGGTCTTACAGACATTATAAAGTAATTAACAACAGATGTAATGTACAAAGGGTTGGTCCTTTTCGCTTAGTGCAATTTCTTCCAAGCAACCTTTGGATAGACTAAATTCATTTTGAACCGGTGTTATCTATAGTTATACATTAATACTATACATCCATACGTTAGTATATACATACACTAATTTTCAACTACTAAAGACAGATAATGCTCACACAGCATAGTCTTGAAGGTGATTACGGATTGCGCACGCCTGATAGAAACCAGCAAGGCATTTCATAAACGTACAGCTTCTACGGAAAATGATTTAGTGTAGAAATTGGTAGAATGCCTTGGTATTTTCAATCTCAGTCTTTCAGAGGACCTTAGGATATTCTTATCTTCCAATCAATAGTCAATTAACTACATATAAAAAGATAAACTTGGATGGATATCGACGATCTCAATTCAAATGTAATAAATTTGTAGAACTTGTCTATTCAATACGTAAGTTTTCCTTGTATCGCATTAAAAATCGTTATGCTTTAAGTGCAATTTAATGCATTGCTTACAAATTTATTGATTAAATTAAAGGTTATTTAATGTAAATTGACTTATTAGATCTATGATTATACATATAACGTTGTATGCAGCTCAAAAGTTAAGTAACTATGATATTTCACGAAATTGACTTTAACTATAAAATACGAAGCATTATGTTTTTTATGAACATTTTTTTAAAGAATATTTTCAATTTTGCTATTTATTTCAAATTATTGTTTTATATATTACTACGAATTGCTTGGATTGTGTTTTTTGGATAAGGATAACAAAAAGTTTTTATATTTATTTGGATTTGCATAAGCATATATAAAAATGGCATGAAAGCCTAATTTTTTCCATGCTTATTTGTCGAGCATTTAGGCAGTAAGTCTTCAAAAATATATTGCGTGTATTAAATGATAATAAACAAATAATATTATTTATTAAATGTTTATATTCATTTAGTACAACTAACACACAACGCCATCTAGTTTCAACCAAATAAAGGTTGTACCATGAAATTACTGCTTAATGAATACTTGTCTACTTTTTTGTAAATATATGCATACTATACATAGGAAACACCTAAACCCCGAAACATATATTTGCAGATCATACAAACATTTGGTTCGACAGGGAATCGAACTCGAGACCTCAGCACAGCAGTCGCATACGCTACCACTGCACCACCGAGGCACTAAAATATCAAATCAAATCAAATCAAATCTTTATTTGCCAACCAAGTGTACATCAATGATCTTATAATATTATATGTAGTAGTCCCAACTCAGAAGCCTTCTTCAGGCATTGCAAAAATTTGAGAGAGAACGCAGAAGAATAAATTGTTACACAAGTACAAGCATTTTTTGAACAATACAAATTAAGTGACTTAATAGTACAGTATAACAATCAAATAAAGCATGCAAAAATACGAAGGCACCCGACATTCTACATCACTAATACATATACACATTTTCCTACTGTCCCTAGCATTTCCGAGCATCACGACCGATTTTTCTTTTTATGATTTGTACTTAGGTATATGCTTTCTGTTTTCCGTGTAATAAGAAATGTAGTTTGTTAAGTGTTTTTTTCCTCAATGTATTCTTTAACAGAATAGAAACATTTTGTAATTAAGAATGCTTTTAGTTTTTTAATGAATAGTGTAGTCTTCGTTTCATTTTTTATGTGGATAGGTAATTTGTTGTATATTTTTACAGCCATGTAGTAAGGGCTCTGGTGTAGCATTTTAATTCTTGATGGTGGTAGGTATAGTCTGTCTCTGTGGCGTGTGTTTAAGTTGTGATTGTCTTTTACTCTCGCGAAGTGACTCATGTTCTTGGATACAAATATGCAGATGTCAAATATGTATAATGATGGTAGTGTGAGGATGTTATATTTAATGAAGAAGGGCCTACAACTATCACGATTTCCAATTTGTCCGATAATTCTAATACATTTCTTTTGTAATATAAATAAATCCTGAAAGTGTACACTGTTTCCCCACAACATAATGCCGTATCGTAACCAGGAGTATGCGTATGCGTAGTATGCTGACAGTGCGGTTTTTTCGTTTGTGCTGCATTTAAGTTGGAATAGAGCATATGTAAATCGAGACAGTTTATTTTTTGTATGTTCGATGTGTGCTTTCCAGTTGATGTGTGTGTCTATAGTTATACCAAGTAATTTGAATGTATCTACAGTTTCTAGTTGTGTGCCATTGTATGTTGTGTCGATGTTTACGGGGGTGTTTCTGTATGTTCTAAATTGGATAGTTTTTGTTTTGTTATAGTTAATTTCTAAGTTATGGTCGTTGAGCCAGTTATTTACTGTATCTAGAGTTTCCTGAAGTAGTGGTGTCGGCTTTGTGGTTTTGTCATAAGGAATTAGTATTGATATATCATCAGCAAATAGGACAGGTAATGTATGTTCCTTGTTTAGTACTTTTGGTAAGTCGTTGATGTATATCAGAAATAGCACACAACCCAACACGCTGCCCTGCGGGATTGAACACTTTATGTTCCTTTTTTCAGACCGGACTATTTTAACCTCATTCGTATTGGGGTCGAAATGGTCAATTTGGACCATTTGTGATCTATTTTCTAAATATGATCGAAACCATGTGTAAGCTGGGCCGCGAATACCAGAACCGCTTAGTTTATTCAAAAGAATGTCGTACAATACTTTGTCATAGGCTTTCGTCATGTCAAGTAATACTCCGAGTACATGTTTTTTGTCATTTATATGTTTTATGGTAGTCTGGATATACTTATATACTGCTAGTGTAGTTGATCTTGATTTTCTAAATCCATTTTGACTATCATCGAGAATGTTATATTTTTCTAAAAAATCGTATAATCTGTTACACATTGTTTTTTCAAATACTTTCGAAAATGTGGGTAACAGAGCAATAGGCCTATAATGACTAGGTGTGTAGGTGTCGCCTTTTTTGTGTATCGGTTTGATTATTGATATCTTTAGGGGGTCTGGAAATTGGCCATCTTGAAGGCTTTGATTAACTAAAAATGTGAGCGGTATTGACAGTTTTTCTGCACACTGTTTCAATAGAATTGGGGGGATTTCATCTATGCCACAGCTGTGTGTATTTTTAATTGAGCGTATTATGTCGATTATTTCTTTTCTATCTACAGGACGCAAGTACATGGAGCACATTTGTGAGTTTATGACGGGTCGACCCAGCGCACTGTTTTTGTTGGTTTTATTGTTATTCGTGCCCATACCCACAGTAGCAAAATACTCACTGAAATTGTTGCAAATAGTTGTTGGACATGTTACAATGTGGTTGTTAATTTTTAATGATATATTTTGTGGAGGGAGTCTTTTTTTTTGTTTACCTGTTTTTTGATTTATGATATTCCACATTGTTTTTGTTTTATTATCGGAGTTTTCCATTTGTTTACAAAAATCAAGTTTTTTTGATATGTTTACACTACGCTTTAGGGTTTGGCTATACTTTTTATAAAATTTATGTATAATATCATTATCATTCACATTCAGAAAGGCCCTTAATTTTCTTTTGTGTGCACATGATTTCCTAAGGCCGGTAGTGAGCCATTCTTTTTTTGGTTTATTATTTATTTTCAGCTTTTTTATCGGTATGTGTGTATTAAGTAATTTAGTCAATATATTGAGAAATAAATCGTAATTGGTGTTTAAATTGTTGTGTGTGTTGATTATTTCGTGCCATTTTATGTCATTTAATGAAGTGTTAAAATGTAATATGTTCCTTTCTGTGAATAGTCTTTTCTGTAAGTACCAGGTTGTGTTATTATTAGGATAAGAGTGTT